CATGATACCTCCTAGGTAACAGTTGATCAGTAAAATACATCTGTAACTCTGCACTATTTTCAATAATGAATCTGGTGGGAAACTCAGGTTCGTATTCAGAAGTATTTAAATCTAATACTGATGAAGAGGATGAGGGATATTCCTTAAGGGGACTGGGTTCGGGCGAATTTTCCCCAAAACCAATGAAAAATGTGCGTCACGCTTATCATAAGTGCCGGTGAGCACAAGGTGCTTGTGTCTCAACTTCAGAAGTTATGCAGCCTCAAAATGATTTTTGACGCAGGGAAATAAGAAATTGACGTATTGTAGATGTCTAAAGTATGCACCCCATATGGTTTTGTTGACTAGCTAGCGCCGCATTAACTTTTTTTAGAGGTATTGACTGTGATGCATCAGTTTTGATCATGGAATTTGATATTTATTGACCATGCAGCCAGGGCGCTAGTTATTACTGATAACGTGGAAATACCCTGACACTGATGAAATGATCAGTAACTACTGATATTACGGACCACATTAAGTACTGATCGTGTGACATTCGCTATTAACACTAATTAACCCATCCGTACTAAACAAGACAACACAAAGTGCCATCTATAACCAGAATCGACCACTGCGAAAGTGAAAACATCAAGCATTCTGTTGGATCTGAATGACAGTTCCCATTGAAAACTATACTAATAGTTTGTATTCTACTTAGACAGAATACATTAATCTATGTAATTAATCCAGAATGAATGTATCGCCCGTCAAATGGTGTATCCTTTGGACATCTACCCACAGTTTCTAATTTTCCTACGGCAAGAATGTACACCAGTGGTTTGGTAACACATGAAGATGGGTAACATAGACCTGTCTGTACATACATTCGTCCGGGTTGCATGCCACGTTATGTAGTACGAGTATACAGACAATGGTGTTTATTTAGTAAGTTGACTCTACTACCTAGTCAACGCTGTCAGTCAGCTCACAAAATATTATCTTAGGTACGAGTTAAAGTCTCTTAGGAAAAAGCCAACTAGGAACATATATAACAAAGGTATTAAATGGACCAAGTTAGTCGAATAGGCTCGTATAATTAGTCTCCAGTCATCACCACCCATTTGACAACGTTGCAACTAGAAATTTTTCCTGTGTCATACTGACCATCCGACGAAGTTTCCATCAGAGTTGCGATATGTTAACAGTCACTAGCAGCGGATAGCTCGCGTTTATCTTCTACTTTCGTTGTACTCGCCTCGGGTATCGAACATATTCCTGTCATTCTTATTCTTAAGGTAAATATACGGAGAAACCTAGGTCAATTCACACATTTTGGTCTGAAGTATTTCCAGTTTAGAAATTTCCCAACCTGTATATGTGGCAGCCAAAAAAAAACAATATTTCACTTACGATTATTTTTGCGATTGCAGTACTCCTTCGCCATTTAGCGTGGTAAGTAATAGGGCTGCCATTTGCAGGGTCTCACAAATACGGTAACATTTTCCTGGGATCACCTTGAGAAAAATTCATATGAATGTATGCCTTAAGTATCCCGATTTTTAAAATTCAGAGCGGTAAAGTTTAGATATTTCAATCAATGTTGGTACGTGGCTACCATGCATTAAAATGCATTTCATTACAAAATTTGTGTTATATTTGAGCTAAATAATTTGAAGAAAAGTATGGTACGTAACCATTTTTCCCTATATTAAAAATTATTAAAGTTTATTGTCATTCATTTTTAACCAAATTTGACCTCTTGATTCACTTTCACCGACCTACGGTTCCTGCGTAAGTAAAACAAGAAACATTATGATGTTGTTATGTTGTTTGTTATTCTGCATAATTTCCGCAAAGTCATACGATCCGTAAGTCTGAAAGAAAATCAAGCGATCAAATTTGGTCAAAAATGGATGAGAATTATAAAGTAACGTTTGTTGCAAGAGAAAAAGTAGTAGCGCGCCATATTTTCTTGTAGAAATAATTAGCATGAACCTTGCACAAACGAAAAGGGAAGAAATAAACAAAATTATTGCTCATCAGAAAATGCGTCTCAATGGTAGCAATTTCCTTACGATATCTAGTGGTTTCATAAAATATAAAATGACAATAGATATTTTTTGGAAAACTTCAACATACCAAATCTGAAGATTTAAGACATTTAGTACATACGTTTCTAAATTTCTTTTAACGAACCCAAGACCAGCTTCCTTAAATATTTCGCATTGCTTTTGAAGAATATGCCGTTTTATTTTATGTTTATGCAAAATATTTCATTTACAATCCACTGTAGCATCATGATAGCTGTACGCACTGCTTTCTGCACAGAATTATTAAATGACTGAACTATATTTATAACTCCCAGAAGTTTTATTATCCGAAGGTAATAATTAATATTAATCTGCTAGTTGATGTAAATTCGCTGTTACTCCGCCTCTTGACCAATCCAGATGCAGATCGAGAATACATTACGCATATATTGCATATATAATGTCGATATTTCATCTGCATATATGTACACTAAGTGATGGAATTTTTAATGCTCTCCGATTTATCTCTGTTACCAAGGATACGAAAAAATAGTGTTTACCGTAATAACGATGTCATTAGATGTCGATAAGTAACCGCTTTGGCATGTAAGGACGTTTGTCTTATGCATAAATGCGCTTTTTGTGAAATGACGAAGTGTAATAACGAATTAGGTAATACGCCAAAGTAAAAAGCTTTCTATGAGTAATGAAGAATGAGTGCGAACTAGTATATGTGGCAATTTAATCTAACGACACGTAAATTAGCTAATGCTTCAAAGAGTGACATATTATGATTACTCAAAGTAGGAAATTGAATTATTTACTTGCATATATAATTATTTTGAGTGTTCGAGCGAACTTTCGGATTTGGTCAGTTTTGGTCCTAAATCAGTACACCAGTATTTATTAGTTCAAGGATACCCAAATAACCGTAACTGTTTTAGTTTTCGTTAACTAATTCTCAACAAAATTCGTTAAAGACTGATTATTATATATTATATAGAGTTAATTATCGTCTTTTATAATAAACTGCTATTTATTATCATTACTAATAAAAAATTGATGAAGACAGTGTTTGTTTTTTTTTGGGATTTTTACCTCCCAAACTTCCGGTCGAACACTAATTATTTTTACGGTTTTTGGCAGTTACGTCATCGATGCCATACGAAAAACGTACTAACTGAAACGTATGCGGATATGAAGCTCCATAGGAAAATTACACGGTGGAAAAATGTATCCCAAACGCCGCTGCTCTTGCACACTTGAATTGATTAATTGGGAGCATTGTTTTCATTTGCTTTTTCAAAAAACTAGAATCATTCTGTTTAAAACCATCGACATTGTCCGTTAGTTTTGATTTTCAGGTGCTGCTGTTTTATGTTACGAAGATCAATAGCATGTCAACCCAAAGCGGTACGCCCATGCCAAGTGGGTTGTCACATTGGAAGTGATAAGCGTAGATTAGGAATATTCATACCTTGACGAGAAAATTTTTGGGGTGGCATATGCCTTAATGGCTGTTTGCCTATCTTATAGGACTTATTTGGATACCCTATCTTATCAACTTTTTTCCATAGCCTCGCATGGCTGTTACATTTGTTTAAAATAATGATACCGTTTCCCAGACATAACTGATGAGAAGATGTTATTAAATAATTGCTTATAGACTTTGGCCTTATCCTATGAATTCCAGCTCCGATACATTCTTTAATTTTCGAGCAGCCTGTGTAAAAATAGTCGTTGGCTCGTACATAGATTTTTTGATATTTCTGCTGAACTTCCCAAACTTTTGAACTAGCTTACATTTAAACTGGAGCAATTAATTGATTCAGTTTCAATATCTATAATTCCAAACGTAAATGCATTGCAAAAAACCAAAGTCCCTTACCAGCTGTATTAAATTACGGTAGTAAAAGTCATCAGTGACTTTTTATGGGGTTATAAAAGGCAGGCATATAAATTACGTCTTTATTTGCCTATTCGGTCGGTTTTTATTATTTTCGGCTCCCAAAATGAAAGGTTTGTGGCTATTTAATAATCGTAAATTAAGTTTGAATTAGCTGGATGAAATTTATTGACAGAGGAACGTGTTGTAAAAGGGATAATATAATTTACTCACATCGGTTACCTCTTATATGATGAACAACTTGATAAGCTTAATAGCCATCTATTGTTCCAAAATATTTACTTGTAGAAGTTGACGTTGTCAAGGGCTGTTTAGAGGTTTTAAGGAATTTCAATCTTGACACTAGCTAGTTCAGACCCATTGATGTTGTGAGGGTTCATATAAGTACCCACCAGCTCGATCCAAGATCAAATAGCTACATTTCATCGTTGAAGCTGGTTTATTCAATAATGAGTTACCACTAGATAAGCAGGTTGAGTAGAACAACGGAGTGAGCAAAAAGAGTCAAAGGTAGCCTAGTTACCAGGTTTCGCTTCACTACTACTAGACTACTTTTTTTTTGCAGCAGCAAGGCATTCAGAAAAGTACGTTCCTCTACTATCTGTGAATGGGGACCCCCACTCGACGCTCTTTGCGTTTATGTCTCCCAAGAGCACGCATTCCCTTCTTGATGTGACAATTTCAGATATTATCTTGTCAACCAGATCCTGAAACTCATTTATCGGAATGTTTGGAGATATGTAGCAACAGTATAAGGTGCAAAACTCGAGGTGTAGGCCCAAAAAACCGTCGTAGTACTTTATATCTTTAACCGTCACTTCCCTATTTCTAAAGTACACTGCTACGTCCCCTCTTTTGTCGCTGATCCATTTTTGAGCTTTTATGATGGTCTTATTGGGTTCCCCCACTATCAGTAGGTCTATGTTATACTCGGCTACCGTGGCAAAGGCTATATCGTGGGCTGCTGTTTCTCTGCCTAAGTTCGTTTGCAGTATTCTCAAGCTTTTCCGTGGATTTCGTTTAAACCTGTTTGTAGCATTACCTTCGACAGTCCGTGGCATTTTTTTTTTCTTTACTTTACTTTACTTGCGGAAGCTGCCTCTCCTCTTTGCTTTATCCTCCACCATCCTCCTATACTTAGGACATCTGGTTGAGTCGGAGCGGTGACCGGCTTCTTGACAGGAAGAACAAAAAGGGTCCGTTTGGCAGTCTTTCGCTTTATGGCCCATTTTTCCGCAGCTCAGACATTCTCCCGATCTATCCCTGCCTGTGCATCCATTTTGTGTGTGTCCGAATTCCAAGCATCTGTAACATCTGGTTACAGCTATTCTCTCACGGACTCTGCATGCCACCCAGCCTATCATCAGCTTGCCTCTGTTGCTTAGGACTTTCGCCAGATGCTTTGATAACCTGACAGTTGCAATTCTATTTCCATCTCTGGTGGGCCTCATATTCAACACCTTCACTGGTGCTGCTCTGTCTACTTGGGTTGCCTCGTAAATTGCTTCCTCGATCTCCTCCTCGGTGACTGTAGGGTCTATATCGCTGATGTGTACAGTGGCATCGTTATTGGCTAGCGATACACCTACATCCTTGAGCTGGGCGGCAATTTCTTTTTTAAGGGAGTCTGCCTTCTCACCACCCCCTTCCACGTTCAGCAGTAGGTCTCCTCTTGCGGTCTCTCTTATGTTCCTGACTTTGACACCGATTTTCCCTAAATCGATATTCTGCTTCACTGTCTTTAGGAGATCGGCGTACTGCCGGCCCCCTTTCTTAACGATCACCGCTTGAGATTGGGCTTGTGTTTTACTTGGCCAGGGTCTGCTGTGCTCTCGGTCTTTTCCTCTGGCTGTCATCAGCTTTACCTCGATGTCCGCTTTGTTAAACACGTACTCTAGGATCTTCCTCACGTATGATTTGTTTATCCCATCATCCGGTATAAAGGTGATCTTTTTCCGACCATGAGTCTGCACCGTTCTCTTGCTATCTTCTACGAGTTTATGTACCTCCTTCATGTTGTTTACTCCATTTTTGTCTATATCGATAGGTAGGATGTAAACAAGTTGGCTTTTCTCTTCGTCTTTGTTCCTGAAGTTTATCTTTGTGGTCTTCTCGAAGTACTCTAACTGGCCTTCTGTTACACCGCCTTTCATGATCTCGCTTATTTCCGGGTGCCTTCCGCTTATTTCCTTTAGTAGTCCTTTCATATTCGCCGGTTTGGCGTCCGCGATTATTGCTGTGACATCTTCTACGGGTATGTCTGGTGGAGCTCCATGAATATGTTTGACGGCCCTGTAAGCTCGTTCTGGCCATTTCCTGTCTAGCAATTTCGCAAATTGTTCAAAGTTTTGGCTCTTATCTAAGATGTCTATTATTTCTTTGCTCTCTTTAGACTCTCTTTCTTCCATTTCCGCCTTTACATCCGCGAAATTTACTTGCACCCCAACGCTTGTTGTGCTTTTTGGGCTCTCTTCCTTTCTCGGTGCCTTCCGGTCTCTCTCGGTACTTTCTTGGTCAATCTTTAGATTTAGTGACTCCATTATCTGGTTCAGCCTCATAATCTCCTTCTTGATATCTCCCTGCGTGTTTGGAGTAGTCTTTATGAGCTCTCTTAACGTAGAGGCGGTTTTCGTCACCTTCTCTATCAGTTTTTTCATTTCCTCACCATTGTCTTCTTCGCTTCTACGTCGTTTTCCTGATTGGGAAGGTGCTCTACGCCTGAGTACTTCTTCAGTTGCATTTGACGTCCCTTGGTTGCTCTCTTCTGTGCCTCTCTGTTGGCTATGTATATCAGACCACGAAGATGATCTGTTCCTGCCAGGCGGTGACCTTTTCATTTTGTCTCTTCTTTTGAAAGGGTCAACCTCCTCTCGATCCTGTCTTTCATATTGTGTTTTTTGAAGTTTATCCATCTTGTTCCCACGAGTAGCTAGGGAAGAAATCTGTCCGCTACCACAGAGCCCCGCATGTGGCAGTAAGGCTATTTTCCCTGGCGGGTCGCCTAGTCCACCAGGCATCGCTTAGAACACACTTCTCTCCCTGTGCCATGCAGCCCCTCGGCACGATGGTGTTACACCTTGGACTTGGGAGGATTTTTTTCCAGGGTTTACTCCCTCAGAGCTTCCGTTTCACAGCCATGTCATCATCAAGTCATAGAGAGTCCATGTCATCGCCCTGTCGTCATATCCGTTCTAGTGTGTCGTCCTTCCATTATTCCAAAAAACGTTTCGTGGTCCACGGCCAGGTCGTCTTATGAATTCTTCGGGTCAGTATCCCTAGACCGGCTGCCTTCACCGCGGCTTTGGGACTCCGGTCTACCCCTTTGCCCTGGGTGTAGGTTCTCGCGACCGGGGTTGGTCACCCGATCTTGGTCATCCAAGAACCCAGGGGTCCCAGCTCGTTTAGCACCTATCCGGGGTGCACGTGTGGCATGCTTCGGTGCGCCACTTGTGTGACGGCCACGGACGCGAGCTGAGCTTCACACCCCACTACTAGACTACTACTACTACTAATACTACTACTACTAGATTTTACCTTACGTGCCAAACGCGCAGTGTTGTCCTGTGAGGACTTGTCATTGCCGTCTATTCTATTTGACAACTACCCTGTCTTTCGTAAGTGTTAAGGCTGGGAAGGAAACAAGGCGCTCTCAGAATGAGGAGATCTCAAGTGAAAGAACCACTGGCACACTAAAGAATGGTAGAGGGTAATTGCACACTTCGCCATCTCCCATAGTAAAATATCTTTATTGAATATTAAGAAAAAATTATCTTTACTTGAATCGGAAATGGAATGTCTAACTATATCCACCTTCCACCACCTCATCGTCGTAGAAAACCATATCTTCGTTTTAGTATGCCCCAAGATCGATTAGTATGACTTGCTCTTTTAGGTATCCATCAGAATATGTTTGCTCAATCAAAAAATACTATTCAATGTTCTTTTTGAAGTTTATGTTTTTCAACTTCTTGCATTGAGAAATTCTAAAAAAATTAAAAAAGTGCCAACGATTCTGCTTTACCCAAGCAACGCTGTCATCAGTTCATAAACGATTACTTTAGGCACACGAAAGTCCCTCTGAGACAAAAGCTCGCTACGAACTTGTATACCAAGAAAACTGTATGGATCAAGTCAGTCATTTGAAAAAGATGCGATCTAGAGATTTCTCCTCTGGCCTACGCCACCGACCAACTGGCAACGTTGCTATAATCAACTTCGACACTTGCCAGCCATGGCGCTTCGGTAGCGATCACAGGCTACGAAACACATGACACCCACCTTTCCACGCGGGTTATACCGTGACGGAGGTATATCCAGAGATGCGTGTGTTGAAAATATGCTTCTCTCATTCCAGGTTTTAAGAGCAGATATACGCGGAAATCTACCATGTTTGAAATATGTATAAGGGTTGTATCGTCAGTCGTTCCTACAATTGTAGGACGCCTTTGTGGCCTCCTTGAGTTGCATAGTTTTCTACTGTTCCGTGTTAGCGCTCTATTTTGAGGTTATGTTACAAAAAAAATAGATATACCCTCCCCCACTCCATATAATCTCCAACACCCAGCTTTTAACCCCTATCAAATTTTATCTCAATGATGATCAAAAGCATCAAAAACGTCAAAAAAGAAGTTGGAACACTTTTCGTTTTTTGCCCCAAGCTATAGACGGACCAATGATCAGAGGCCAGACTGACTGACGGGCATAAGTGTCATGGTCTTTCGTGATATCATATAAGATCAAAAAATCGTAATTTCTCATTTTTGACGCTTTTTGAAACTATAGATCCCTCTCGCCAGTTGCATGGAAGGTGAGAACTAAAGAAAATGAAACAAGATCACATATTTTAGGTATTCTCTGTATAAGAACATGCAGGTGGCTCCTTCGTTATCCACCTTAATTTCTGGCCGACTGGGGAGTTTTACAGGATATCCTTTGCCATTCTGACCGACCTAGTTATGCATATTATCAAAATGATGATAATATGCATAAAGCTCCTTGTTAGCTCTACTAATTATTCACATGAGATAAAACCGGAGTTAAAACGCACAGCGCAGCGTCTGCAAATGAGCTTTTGCTCCGGGAGTAAAACTAGTCATTTAGCATCATACTCGGGCAGGAAACAGGCATCACGCGTCTTTAAAAATCACCACGTTAGACGATATTTACACTGCCTCGGGTCAGACCTGATTCGGAGATAATTAAAAACAGAGGAACAGAAATTAGACTAATAATACAGCGCCTGCTTCTGAGTCAACACAATGTTAATGGCTGGTGAACATCACTAGGAGGTGAGTATTAAGAGACTTTCCTGTTATCAAGCCATCTACCAAATTCATTGGTTCTGAACAGAGCAAGCATGTTAATTAAAATCAGTTTGTGGATATGCGTAGGTGAACGACCAAAGGCAAGTCGGTCCTGGATTATTGATTAGGTGTAAAATTATGACAATATACTAAGTGACATAGAAACAAGAACACCCAGTAGTGATGAATTTGTCGCAGTATTTTTTTTTGATATTATGTAAGAGATACGAGCCCCTTCCCACTTCAGTTGGCCCAACTATTGAAATCTTAGTTTTTTTCTTAACAAACACAAATAATAAAAATGTAGCAGGGTGTTATAGATTTAAAATATTAACAATGAATATTTTGATAATATATATTAGAAAACACCAACTTTATCACTCCCATATCAAATTTGCAGCATAAAAATAACACATGTTGCAATTACAACATATCAACCTATTTTCATTTCAATGCAAAATAAGTCTATAATGCATAGGAGGCTGTGAAAAATAAAAGACATGAAAATTGTTTTTATTAATTACAGCTATCAGAATATGTTTAAAATAGTTTTGGGTAGTTAAGGTTTTCAAAATGGGTAGAGCAAAGGTTATTAGTGAGAAAATTCGGTTACTGATAATTAAATTTTTTACTTCTGGGAAATCAAACTCAGAAATTGCAACTTTGTTAGACTTATCGCGGTACAGTGTGAGAAATATTGTTATAAGATATAACGTAACTGGTTCAGTTAATATTAAGCCACGATATGTGAAAAAAAGTAATATCACAAACGCCGACCGAAGAGCATTAAGAAGCATAATCGTGAAAAACAGGCGTGCCAATTATTTACAATTAAGTGCTCTGTGGAGTGACGTTGATGGAAGGAGAATTTCGAGGTCTACAACTCATAGAGAGGCCCACAAACTGGGATTTAGCACTTGCAAGGTAAGTTTACTTATAAAAAAAGTGAAGTAAAAACCCTAAAGTTGCACAACTTGTTTATAGGCTAAAGAAAAGCCACTATTAACTCCACTGCAAAAAGAAAAATCGGCTTAGATGGGCTCAAGAACATAGACAATGGGCACTTCAACAATGGTGTGTAATACAATGGAGTGATGAGGCCCGATTCGAAGTTTGTGTTGGTGACAGTCGCAGTAGAGTTATTCGCAAAAAAATGAAGCATTCCATGTTGACTGTCTGAAGAGAAAAGTGAAATTTCCAGCATTCATTATGGACTGGGGCATTATGTCATCAAAAGGAGTAGAAAAACTTCATTTTATTGATGGAAATGTGGATACAAACAAATATTTGGCAATTTAGAATCGTTCTTACCAGTGATGGAAGAATGTTTGACATCCGGCCAAGATTTTGTGTTTCAGTAAGATGGTGCAGCGTGCCATACCTCAAAAAAGGCTATAAAATGGATGGAAGAAAATAATGTACCACCTTTGAAATGGGTTTCTAGCAGTCCCAGTGGGGCAGAATCCTAAAAAGCTGGCCAAAAATCAAACTTATGAGTTGTTTACAGACTTGCTCTAGGGTCCTCTTGACATCAATCGTTATTCAGCCGTCGTTTGGTACGCACTAAGCAAGTGTACACGTCGAAAAATTCTGGCCTGTTTCGAAGTGCTGTAAAACAGACCAAACTATTTCAATTTGAATTGTGCAGAATATATAGTTATGCACAGTTGTTGCTTATTTTATGTCTGAAATATTTGAATTTTACAACAAATAAACAAGCAATTGTAATTTTTTTTCTATAATCGATTTTCTAAAGTAGTTTTAAAAATGTCTTCGCGAATCTCGATCTTGTTTCGACAAGGAAGTGATAGTGTATAGTATTAAATATAATATAATAAAAATCTGGCTGCTCAGGAGTGTTCAACCAATAGTTAGACTAATTTTTAGGGAGAAATATGTAGCGCGGCATTAATGGACGTGTGTCTGTAATGCATTGACTATTACCGATCGGACAACTTTCTGAAGAGGCCCAAGAGTCACGCAATAAGGACATTAAGAAATAGAGATTAAATAATGCAAGAATATGCGCTGGAGAAACGAATTTGAGAGATATCTTCAATAATAGGCTCTTAGTAGCATCAGATCCATTTCTCTCAGCATCAGGAAATTGCCCCAGAGACCGGCGAAATCTTTACATAAAGAAGCTCTACAATTGTTAAAACAACCTGAAGTCACCAGACAAGAGATAAGGAACGATTCCGATTTAGATACAAGTGGGTCAAAATCAGAATCCGAATCGAGTGATTCGAACATTGAAGATTATGTACGAGATCTTTGTTGCTGGAAGTAAATAACAGATATTCATTTTGTTGCAAATTGTTTATAAAAGAAATTTTTGATAAATAAAAACCATTGCTCGAAAGTTTTTTTACTCATTAAAACCTAAAAATATTATAAAATATTTTTTTTTAAAAATATAAAAAAAATTAAGAGTTTTTGCCTCCATATATCGCGTCTGCTAATTTGAAAAT